CCAAGAAAAATTTTACAGATTCGTTATTATACAGCAATCGTTGCAGGTCGAGCAATATGTGACAGATTTAGTGCATAAAGCTGTTCAATTCGTCGAAATGGAAGTTTATACCAATAGTTGGTTTTGTTTCCAACACTTTGAAAGAAGCTATTTTTCATATAAAAAATGAAATAAAATACTTGTAACGTATTGAAAAATTTGCAGAAAGTTTTTTGCAATATGAAAATGTGGCACTCAAGAAGCCTGCCTATATGAGCACACCTGATTCAACGTACATCGCAAACAATTGTGTTGACGGCAGCAAAGGAAATAACAATTTATGTAAATTGACGACCGAAACAACACCCTTTAAGAACTGGTTCATAGTTGATTTGACGAGAAATTATCAAGTTTTGTACGCTGTTTTATACACATTTGATCTTCAAGGTTTGTAAAATAAATGTGCTGTTGGCAACTGTTGATAATTAATTTTTAGTTAATGTCATATATTTAAAGGCATGGAAGGCTTCATTGTTGGGTTATCGAACACGGTGAATCAAAACTCAGATGGCGCGATACGAGGGACCTACGATAATTGCACCACTGGACCGATAACTTATAGCGCCTCAGCCCAACCGCTGAGAGTTGATTGTAACTATGGAAATAACACATACAGATACGTGATTGTCCAACAATCAACTACTAAGGCTACTAGCGCTAATAGGATGACATTTTCTGAACTGGAAGTCTACGGATCTGGTTAAGTATTTTTTAAACAATTTTTTATTTTGAATTTGTCGATAAATATTTTTTTCCCTTAGAAAATACTGTGTACAAGTATGTCGGTTGTTTTAGGACCTTTCAAAAGCAGGCTACCTTCCACGAATCCTCCCTTGATATATGCATCACATTGTGTAAGGAAATGAACTATCCATACGCTACTATCAGGGTACGAACTAACGACATCTGATAAATATAAAATATTTGAGTATCATAAAAAAACACACACACATTTATGTCTCTTAAATATGTGTATCTAATTCGATATTTTAAAAATCAATGCGAAAAGGAAAGACATTGGTGTTTTTGTGCGGCAGTCGCTCCAACGGATCTCTATCCATCCTCCTCTTGCTTCTCCTACTGCAACTCAGTCACTGGAGTCTGCGACGAGACTGATCTGAACGCTGTTTATTCAAGTGGGATGATGCCATAATAATTTACGCCAGAAATTAATTTTTTAATTTTTTATTACTAATTATTTATATGATATTTTATTCAATTTTATTGGTTTTACTATTATTTTATTACTAATTATTTATATGATATTTTATTCAAATTTTATTGGTTTTACTATTATTTTATTACTAATTATTTATATGATATTTTATTCAAATTTTATTGGTCTTACTATTTTAATGTTCTTCAGCACAACCCAGTCCAGGATATATGGGATGCTATCTGGATGCTGGTAGCATCCTAATCAACAGAGATCTCAACCTGAAATCGGTACAGATGTCAGGGACATTGACAATTGAAAAATGCTTAACTTACTGCTTAGAAAACGGCTTCTCGTACGCTGGAGTGCAGGTTTAAAGTAAACTATCTTACAATAAAGTAGTGTCAAATGAGCAAAACGCTTGTGTAATGGTTAAGTTTCTTAGCGTTGCTGTGGCAGTTACAGGTTCGAATTCAAATAGATCCAAATGTTTTTCAGCACGACCCAGATCCATGCAACGTGTGTGTGATGCTCTGGTTTGCGCCTATTTTCATGCATTGTGTGTTTGTTGTCGATACCTTTGAGAAATTATGAAAATATATACTACGACTAGAGCAGTGCATTTTGTAACTGTGGAAACACGTACGGAAAGTATGGAAAGATTTCCGAAAATATCTGCAACGCTGCATGCGTCG